AGTGCGGTGCTTTGTATATTGCATCCCGTACTGCGTTGTAACCATATAATAATATTATTATATCGTATGATTTCGTGTCGCGCTTAAATGTGGGCGGGTGCGGTGGAGGCTCTGGTGTACTTTTGTGTGCGTAGGCAAATGCAAAATTATAGCAAAACAACACCGCGAATATACCGTTACGGATAATACCGCGTGGCAGACAACAATAATGTGAACCGTGTCCGTGAATAATGTTTTACAACGTGATGTATAAATTCATTAATTATACGCGTCGAAAAACAAACACTAATTATTATGCTTAKATATACTTTTATAATTGTCTTTGTACGAGTATATAATAACGCATTATATTTATATTATATCATTATAATGACGTTGTACGATGCTCACTTTTTCCAGCAACACCGATCAGCGACGTTTCTTTGGGACAAACAGTCTTGAAATTTGTTCGAAACATGTGTGTCCGAATACACGGTCCGATATTTATACTCGTGTGCACACGTGACACATTGATAATATTACTACCTATAAATACGACAATCAAAGTGTTTAAATATAATATATATTAGGTACGACTCACCGCTATATTTGCATATTATATATATTCAACTACTGAACTACCGTATAAATTTCACAACAATTTACGTAAGAATAATCCACCAATAATGATATTAAAAAAAAAATACGTCGTGTGTGCTCGAGCAAGGCTGTTGTGTTTAGTTTAGAAACGTGCTGCAGTGTTTCAACTCCACGCGCGCGCTCCTGTGACCGAGTTGATAGCACACCAATACACGACTCAGTTGCCAGTACTCATCATCGTAGCCAGATTGGGATCCAATCGGCACGCTATTATGGCAAAAAAAATATACATAAAATAAATATCGGCCTCTCTCAAAAGCACAATTTGTCATTTTATTTAAGGTTTAATTTTGTTAAAATATGTTTTTTTATTTTATTATCGAAGTCATTTTAGACTTGAGTTTGACCAATCTTAAAATGTTCTACATCGTAAGACAATTTTTATTTTTACCAATGCTTCAAAAATATTTTGACTGGACTCGAAACCTGTCTATCGGACTTTAGCAAATCAATATATATATATAATATTGTTTCGTTATTTCATCTGTATTATTTCGACACAATTCTGTTTTTATGTATTGTTTCTGTAATTAAAATGTGTCAATGTATAACTATATAATTAAATGCTATTAGCTACTCATTTTTAACCCATACGAATAAATAAATTCATAATATTTTGTTATCAATGACTGTATGAACAACGTTTTATTCTAGKCATAACTTAATAACTATCCTCCAGTTTTAAATTTAAGGTTGAAAACGTAATTTATTTTGTTCCCATCCGTTTCTACCCTCATTTGTGGCAAGCCGTTGGTAACATTTAAGGGCAAATAATTGCTGGTGAAAAAACATAAAAGCTTAACAATATTTTACAATTTTGAGGAAATGTAATATACTTTTTGTGTAGTCTGTATATAATAATTAATAATACTCTGAGAGTGTGTGGTGTAATCGCCCATTGAAATGCCATCGTCACTGCCGGCCTCGGCTGTCCGCTCAAGCTCGTCACACTAAGCGGCTGCCAAAGATTAACGGCTTAATTGGTCAATAAACAATTTATGTAACAAATATACCATCTTCTGCCATGGCAGAACSCACACACCTATAACAAAACATTTGCGGATTAAGCGTGTGTGATTGGTTTACACGTGGTTAACGCGCCGACCATTTTCACTGATGAGTGTTTGAATGCTAAGTCCCGCGCKTCCGATTGACAGCATTGCAACAGTCTCGCGGTTCCATACAAGACTATCTAATATATAATAATAAGATGTTTCCACTCGTCGTTGAATGGACAATGATAATAATTATAAATATATAATATATATATTGTATATCATGTGTTAATTATTTTTACTGTTGATATTTATAACATCCTACCAACTATCAATATTTTACCACACACACTCCACTGCTATGATGCGACCGAACGTTTTTTTTTTTTTTTCATTAATAGTATTCTGCTTCGACATCTAAGGCCATTAGCATTACATTTAATGTTATACTTTAAAAGATAAAATATATATATATAATAAATAGTACATACAAATGATTAATTACAGTTGTTAGTTGTATAATCTTATAGTARTTTGAGAATTTGTGTTGCTTTGAAGAAATGTATGGTGCTTATATTTCGTTATCTGGATTTGGACCAAGACTTGAACGTATTTTATAATATARTACTACATACCATATATCGCCGTGTGYTATATTTTATATTTCAATATTACTTAAATCAGAATCAATTCCGTTTCATGAGAGTTGTATTTACGGTGGAAAGAGCGGGGACAAAATGGTCTACAATATTGAATGCCTGTGAACATAAATCTAAATTTTAATATATATACAGAGTGCTGTCGCCCGCGCCATAAGTGTAAAAAATTGTAGTTTATATTTTTCAAACTTAAYTCTCCAATTTGGAAGGTTAGGTTAGTTGGACAAACTTAAATAACGATAGTCAATAGCCAGTAACTACCAAAAGTCCCAATAAGGTTTAAGTTGTATTATATTTAATAGTGATTATAGTAATATAGTGAATAGTATTCATAGTGATCTAAAATATCATATAGTCATCGTATCATATGATACGATGTATAATTCRTGCTATAAACATGGAGTAGGCTATACTATTTGACTGATCAATTATGTTTTTAAAACAGAAAAATAAAGTATAGGTATATTATAGTAACCATATTCTATACCTACATATTGGTGTGTGAACATTTGAATCGTATACTTATATGACGAGTATCAAATTTATGGTTAAAGTTAGTTAGCAATTAAAATATATCRTGCTTTTCAGCTTTTATTCCAGCATTTAGATGTAAAAGTCCTAACCGATTTTGCGCTTTTGGATGTCACCGTATATATATATAACGTATTTAATGTTCATAGTTGAGTTTTCCGTGTAGAACCGTAGAATGTATGTCACACGTGTGATGTGCATATACTGCAGTATAATAATATAGTATAACAATATTTGATTAGTATAAAACAAACAAACATAACTAGCAAATAGAACGGGCACGTCGTTCGGAGTACAGCTATAACCCACACCTGCAAACGTTATACTGCTGCGACGGGCGTGTATACGGTTTTTTTAAAGGCCTTCGATCGATCGATCGCCGTTGTTATATTATGTCCTTCGCCAGTTCGTCACCGTCAAGGAAAAACGAATAAAAGTTCCGTTGTCGTCAGACAGTCTTCCTACGCACGATACGCACGATACGTAAAAACGAAGCGATTTTCCGCTACCATCACCGCGTTTGCATTATTATACTAATTCTATTGTATTTGTATAATATTACACAATATGTGTAGAACACTTGCGAACGCTACGCTTAATATGTATGATGCGTATTGTTATATTACACTGTAGTAGGCTTACAATTGTATACAGGTTTTACACGGTACACTATTATTATACCTACTACCCGRTATCATATTATACCTGCCGTGCAGCGCTCGCGATATCGACTTGTATAATATTATGCGTTCGGATTAATTATAATAATATAATATGGTTTGCGAAAACTCATTCGCGTGTGACCGGCCGTTGCTCGTTTTATGCGACGTTTAACGATTTCCACGCAAAAATGACTTTATAATATTATAGGTA